TCTCCCTCCTGGAGTACCATACTATCCTCTACAGTGCTACATTTCCAAGATGATTTAAAGGTGGGCCAGCCTTCACCCCGGCCACCATCCCACGAGGGCCTTTATCTCGAGCCTTTATTTCCGGTCCCTGCTGAGTCCGCATCAGCACCGCGCTCCCCCGCATTCCGGCTTCCGTTCCAGGACGCCGGTTTTAAAATGACTTTCTGTGTGGATCGTTTACAAAAGCCTTTTGCAAACTAAGATTAATTACATCCCCTGATTCATCCAGACTCTAAGTTGTTGCATTAAAAAATCTGAAAGTGGAGAAGAATGTCTTGTCTGTTTAGGTGTGAAACTTCAAATGTGCACCAGCCCCACGTTAGTATCTTGTGGCCTCCCAGTGCTGACGAAAGAGCAGAACCGCCTGCCACCGAGAGTTCTTATTCAGTAGCCAGCAAGGACGAGGGCAGGCGCAGGGGCCGCTGGGAGCGTTCTAGCTGTTACAATGAATAAACCAACAACTTGAACCCCTGAGTTTTACACTTCGAATGTGAACGGTCTGACAAATTCAAGTTGACTGTAATGCCTACTGGACAAATACAACAAGAAACTATCAAAGTCCTCCATTTCCATACTACAACAATTATGACTGGTAAATATTACTTAAAAATATTTTTATTGATTTTCAAAAAGAGAGGAAGGGAGAGGGGAGAGAGAGAGACATGCGAGAGTGAACGGGCTGCCTCCTGCATGCCCCTACTGCAGAACTGAGCCCCCAAACCCGGGCATGTGCCCTAATGGGGAATCGAACCAGCAACCTTTTGGTGCACAGGATGACTCCCAGCCACATGGGCCGGAGCTATGGGAGGATCCTTTGGAAAGTAAAACTGTAAAGAAATGCGTGTGATTATCAAAAAGGACAGGATAGTGGCCACCTCGATGCAAAAGACGTTGTGATGGGAGAGGATTTGTGAGGGCTCCTGGGAGCTGGCAATGCTCCTTTTCTCGACCTGCATGGTAGGTTTCTTTTTACAGCAGTTTATGAACCTCTGTATCTGGTGCTGTACATTTGTGTATCTGTAATATATTATACAATTTAAAAAAATTAATATATTTTATTGATTTTTTACAGAGAGGGAGTGAGATAGAGAGTTAGAAACATCGATGAGAGAGAAATATCGATCAGCTGCCTCTTGTACACTCCCTACTGGAGATGTGCCCGCAACCAAGGTACATGCCCTTGACTGGAATCAAACCTGGGACCCTTCAATCACAAGCCAATGCTTTATCCAGTGGGCTAAACCAGTCAGGGCTAAAAAAAAAAAATTTTTAATGCTTCAGAACAGCCCTAACTGGTTTAGCTCCGTGGATAGAGTGTCAGCTCCTGGACTCCATAAATGTATTCTTATTAATGATCCCAGAATTCTATTCAATGAACTATCCTATCTAAAATATATTAATATGCAAATTAACCACCACTCTGCTACACCACAAGCCAATCAGGAGTGAGTATGCAAATTAACCCAATCAAGATGGCTGCAGCTACAGGGCGAGCAGGAGGGAGGCTTGGCTTTCTCTGTTGATGGAGGAAGCCAAGATTTCCACACACCCTGGCTGGCCCAGGCCTCCACTCAAGGCTACAAAGATTCAATTATAGAAGATAAATAACTTCCAACAGAAATGGCTGCAGCCTCAGAGCGAGCAGGAGGCTTGGCTCCACTCCAGGATACAAAGTTTTAATTGTAGAAGATAAATAAACCCCAGATACCAGGGCCTCTGCCTGGGTCTCTGGGGAGTGTGGCCAGCCTGCAAACCACCACAGGCCCCTTGCCCAGGCCGCCCTACACCCCAAGGGAACCCCCATCCTGGTCTGGGACACACTTCAGGGCAAACCAACCGGCTTCACCCATGCACCAGGCCTCTATCCTATCTAATAAAAGAGTAATATGCAGATTGACCATCACTCCAACACACCAGATGGCTGCCCCCATGTGGTCAAAGATCCTGCTCCCAATTGGACACAAGATGGCCAGCAGGATAGGGAAGTTGAGAGGGACCAGGCCTGCAAGGGAGGGCAGTTGTGGGTGATCAGGCCAGAATGGGAGGGCTGTTGGGAAGGACCAGGGCTGCAAGGGAGGGCAGTTGGGGGCAATCAAGCCTGCAGGGGAGGGCAGTTAGGGGTGACCAGGCTGGCAGAGGAGGGAAGTTGGGAGTGACTGGGCCTGCAGGGAAGGGCAGTTGCGGGGGGGATCCAGGCCTGCAGGGGAGAGCAGTTGGGGACACCTCACCTGTAGGGGAGGGCAGTTAGGGATAAACAGGCTGGCATGATAGCAGCTAGACATCAATCAGGCTGGCATGGGAGTGGTTAGGGAGTGATCAGGCTGGTAGGCAGAAGCAGTTAGGGGCAATCAGGAAGGCAGGCAGGTGAACAGGTGGGAGCCAGCAGTCCTGGATTGTGAGAGGGATATCTGACTGCCATTTAGGCCTGATCCTGGTGGGACATCCCTTGAGGAGTCCCAGATTGGAGAGGGTGCAGGCTGGGCTGAAGGACACCCATCCCCACCCTCACCCCCCACCCTCCACCCCCACCTCGTGCACAAATTTCGTGCACCAGGCCTCTGGTTTTTATATAAAAGACATTCCTTCTTAGAATTTCCTTCTTTATAATCCTCTAGGTCCACGATTCTGCCCTTGGGGATTTGGTAATGGGTCTTCCATGTCTATGTGGCTCCTTTTTATTTATTTTTATTTTTATTTATTTAGGAGATTGCTCTATTTCCTTTCTAACCTGATTTGTTTTATTCTACAGTTATTTGCTATTACTATTTAAACATATTCTTAACAGGCTATCCCTAATGAGTAATACTTTTTACAAAACACATTGTCCCTTAGCTATTTACTGATAAATAGCCCAAATTATCCTGAATGATGTGAAAAATCTGGGCCTTTAGCCATCTAGTAAATAACAACATTTCTTCCTTATTTTAAGTAATGTCCTTAGTTCTCAGCCCCTTACAATCATTGAAGACCCCAAAAAGATACTGTAGGTTACCTCGGTTGATATTTACCACATTCGAAATTAAAGCATCGAAAAATACGTACTTGCTTTTTGATGAAGAACAATAATAAGCCCAATGCCTATTAACAGAATATGTTTTATGAAAAAATAACCCCCTTTCCAGAACAAAGACATTTCAGTGAAGGGGGTGGCATTGTATCTTTCATTCTGCAAATCTCTTCATTGTCTGGCTGGACAGAAGGCTGCTGGATCCTGGCATTGCTTCTCCATCCAGCCCGTTCCAATCTGCTGCTTCTCAGCCGTTATGGACAGCACCAGCTGGGGAGAGATGTTAGTCCGGAGGGTAAGCCAATGGGATGCCTGCCGTGTGTGGGTTCCAAAGGCACACAAGCCAGAGCATAAGCCCTGAGGCCTAGAGAGGCAGATCCACACCAGCCACCCCGCTGGCGTGAGCGAGGTGCAGAGAGAGCTTCCTTCCTGGGTGCCCACCCTGAGCTCGGAAAGCTTGAGTTTGCAGATATAAAGCTTTAATGAGCCCCAGCAGCATCTACCTCACTTACAACCATTTCATTTATTCACCTACTCATCCGAACGGATATATGGACCACAGCTGTGTGATATCACCACTGAGCTATTTTTATTAGTTAACAATCAGCATCTTTAAACTTTCATCAGATTGTAAATGTTCTGACATTTCCATGAATTATAAACGCAATTATCACACCAAATGGCTCTTCCTCAGGCTTCTCTGGAAACGTCCTTCGAGTCCTCCGACATTACTTTCTCCCTCGGGGTCCACTAGCTTTTGATCCCGTTTATGAGTCTCCAGCCTTCGAAGGACAGGCTACGGTGCATTCATTAACGCCTCCCCTCATTCCTACCTGTTGAGCTTAACACTCGGTCTTGCCGAGCCCACCTGTTCCAGGAAGCCTCCCAGCCCCCAGCTCTGCCCACACCACTCCTGGGAGCAGATGCCAGGGAGTCACAGAGAGGTTTTTGTTTCTTGGTTGGATTGGTTTGGTTCCCATCCCAGGAATGGAGGCTTGTCCTTCAGAGAGGATGCCTTCCATGGTGGCTCTGGAATTGAGTAGGCAATTATTGTGAAGGACACGTTCACACATTTTCCATAATGGATACACGTCAAAGAAAGTAGCAAAATTCCAGCATCTATAATAATAAAAGGATAATATGCTAATTAGACCGGACATCATTCTGGATGTCCGTCTGGATGAAGCAGGGCTGGAGGGAAGCCCGGGTCCCAGGTGCCAGAGGGAAGCCGGTGCCAGCAGCCAGGGGAAGGAAGGCCTCCTCTTGCATGAATTTTGTGCATTGGGCCTCTGGTCTCTCTATATAAAAGCCTATGTGACCAATCGCTATGATTGTGGTGTGTAGGGGAGGCAACCAATCAATGTTTCTCTTTTTCTTTTTCTCTTTCTCGCCCCTCTTGCCTTGACATCTATCTCCATAACCCCAAATAAAGACTTCCTTTCCGTTGTCATTGTGCCAGAATAACTTTTTCGTGAACGCATTCCCAACATCCAAACCCAGAATCTTGTTCTAGAACAAGAAGGGCTTTTGGCTTATCCACTCTTGTATGGTCCACGGAGTCGCCAGCAAACAGCTCCTTTGAACATTTTGGGCAGGATCCTTCCAGACACTTGGTTTGGGATTAAACAGGAAGTTCCTTCTCCACGTATATGAACAAGTTCTGCACACATGTCTACTAGAATACAGCAAGATCGACCCCAAAGACCACACACATACACACACACACACACACACGCACGCACGCGCGCGCGCGCGCACACACACACACACACACACACACACACACACCACGCCCCCTGCGGCCCTAGCTGGTCACTCTGCACACCGCCTTCCTTGAAGCAGAGACAGGGCCCTGCTGAGTGCCCAGCGCACAGGGGCGCGCGCTCCCGCTGTTCCCGTCGCCGCCACCGGAGGTCGCGCGCGGCGCACGGAGGCCGAGTGCACGGGGCGCGGGGGCGGGAGGGGCGCGCGGGGCGCCGGAAGCCGCTGGAGGAGGGGGGCGCGGGCGCGTCCCCGGGCGCCCGGCCGCTGACATCAGCGCGCTCCGCCCCGCGCCTCCCAACACCCTCCGCTCGGCCGGGCCCTCCCTCCGCCACCACGTGTCCCCGCTCCCTCCCGAGGGGCCGTGCGCGGGGCCGGAGAGAGGCCGGGATGGCGCAGTGACAGCCGGGCCGGCTCTCGGCGTCCCCCGCGCCCTGGCGGGGGGCCCGGCGGTGAGTGCGCGCGGCGGCGGGGAGCGCGGGGCGGGGTGGGGGCCCGGGCGCGGGGCGGGGCGGGATCCTCCGGGCCGGGGCGCGGGGCGGGGGCGGGGCGGGATCCTTCGGGGCCCGGGGCGGGGCGCAGGGCGGGGGCCGGGCGGGATCCTCCGGGGCCGGGGCCGGGGCGCGGGGCGGGATCCGCCGGGCCGGGGGCCGGGGCGCGGGGCGGGGGCCGGGCTGCGGCTGCACCGGCGCCGCCTTTGTTGCGGGCCGGCGGGACGCGGGAGGCGATCGGCGCCGGCGCTCGGCAGGTGCGCGGGGCCGGACGGGGCCGGGCCTCCCGGGCGCGGAGACGGGAACGGGGACAAGATGGCTGGAGAGACCCGTGCGGCGCAGGCGGCGGCCAGGCCCGGGCACCCCGCCTCCCACCCCGACCTGCCGCCCCGGGAGCCGGCGGGGGTGGGGGGAGCGCGGCCAAGTTGGGGCCCCGCGCGGGGATCTGAAGCCCGTTCCGCATACCCCAGCCCCTTCCCAGCTGCACTCGCCCGTCCTTTCAGGAAATACGGGAGAAGCCGACTTTGAACTCGGGAGCGATGTTTTCCCCGCTACCCGGGAGGTCGGGCCCCGGGGATGCGCCCTGGCTGCCGCCTGGGGACCCAGCCCGCCCCCGAGGGCAGGAGCGCGGCCCTTTGTGCCGCCCCGAGCGCCCCAGGAGCTCCGGGGGTCGGGCCGGACGGCCCTGGCAGATGGGTGCACCTTGTCGGCTACCGGCCCGCTTCAGTGTCCTGGCTCCAGCCATTGCTTCTGAGCCTGCTCCGGGACAGAACCTCTGAGTCTGGAAAACCCAGTGATGGCGATTCTGAGCCACGCAGCCTCCCGCTCCCGGCTGGCCGGCAGGAACCCCCAGCGGAGCCTGTCCTGCCCGCCCTCAGAGCCCCCGCACCCCGGACTGAGCGAGCTCTGCCCTTCCCTGCTCTCTTCCCGGAAGGAATGTTTACCCCTCGGCCGGTTCTGCCCTTGGGTCCCTGCCGAACCAGGCTGGCCTCCTCCACAGAGAGCTTTGTAAATTGTTTATTGATTGAGAGTAGAGCGGTGGAAGGGAGCGAGAAAGAGAAACATCGATTTGTTGTTTCGATTACTTACGCATCAATTGGTTGATTCTTGTATGTGTCCTGACCTGGGACTGAACCTGCAACCTTGGCGGATGGGAAGGATGCCCTAACCCAGTGGTTGGCAAAGAGCTTATGTAGCTAGCCACATGTGCTCTTTGGCCCCATAAGTGTGGCTCTTCCACAAAATACCACGTTACACTAATTAAGATACCGTATTTTTCGGACCATAAGACGCACTTTTTTCCCCCCAGAAGTGGGGGGGAAAAGTCCCCGCGTCTTATGGTCCAAATATAGCCTACACATATACTTTTTAAAAAAAAGTTTTTTTACTTGCTTGTCTCTGTGTGCTTGCCCGGCTCTAAAATGGTTCTAAATGCTGCTGTTTACTTTACAGGGTTGATTACATGTGTTTATGACTGTGATGTTGGGTTTTAATGCACATAAAATATTTTAGGACACTATTTGTTTCAGAATCTTTTTTTCTTCATTTCCCTTCTCTAAAAACTGGTGCGTCTTATGGTCCGGAGCGTCTTATGGTCCGAAAAATACGGTAATCACAATGTACCTACCTATGTAGTTTAAGTTTAAAAAATTTGGTTCTCAAAAGAAATTTCAATCATTGTGCTGTTGATATTTGGCTCCGTTGAAATTTCATTGTGCTGTTGATATTTGCCGACCACTGCTCTAACCAATGAGCTACCCAGCCGGGACCCACAGAGCTTTTAAATGTGTGAAGGCAGCAGCCACATATGCTCTCTGCTTGCAGCCCCTCCTTCCAGCTTCCCGGTGCCCCCTTCCTCCCCAGCCTGACCGTTCCCTTCCTTCCAGTCCAGCAGAGCTTGGGGCTAAGAGGTTGTGTTGGCGGAGCTGTGTCTCCCTCCCCCCCTTACATGCACACACACACACACACACACACCCGCCCTTTCAGGACATGAGAGTTCACACTGGCCTGGTTTTTCTGAAAGAGTCTTGCTTGCAGACATGGAGTCCACAGCCATCCCTCTGAACCTGACCCTGAAAGTGGAGGAGAGCGAAGAACAGATTCAGAGCCCAGACCTGGAGGATGGCTGTGCCGACATGCAGAAGGTCCGCATCTGCTCGGAGGGCGCCTGGGTGAGTCAGGGTGCGGGGCCCACAGGGCTTGGGGGAATCCTTCCGGCCCGGCAGGAAGGGAACAGCCCAGCCCCGCTCCGGTGTCCACATTCCCGGGAAAACAGTGCCGTGGCTTTAAAAGGTGCCGTGGAAACAGAGCGGTTACCTGAGCAGGCCCTTCTGTCTCGGAGGCCAAGGCCCAGTCTCTCCGCACCCCCGGTGCCCGCACCCGCTCAGTGCCAGCACGTGGTGGGCACCGCTGTGTGCTGACCTGTGAGAATGCTCTGCCAGCTGTTCCAGGGAAGGAGGGCCTATCCAGGACCACGGAGAAAGGGGTCACAGTGTCATAGGAGGGCACGCAGACCTGGCTCCACACCAAACGCAGTAAAGGGGGGGTTACGGCCAAGAGGCAGTGTGGAGGGTGCGTGGATGAAAAAGTGCTTAGGATCCGGGCTCCCGGCTGAAGGCAGGTCGGGGTGATGGGATATTTGGAGTGTGTGTGGGGGGAGGTTTGTACCCTGAGCTGGGCAGGGGGACGGAGGGGACCTCACAGGGAAGGAGCCGGTGTCACCTGCGGCTGGTTGAAGGGGACCACTTCTCAGCGAGCCTTGGGGTCACTGAGCTGAGGGAGAGCTGCACCCCCAGCTGGCCTGGATGCAGGGGCCGGGGCTGGGCAGCCGGATGGGGAGCGAATCCACACAGAACAGTGGAGAGAACTTGGGAAACTTGTAGACATGTCGGAGTGACAGGAGGCGTTGTGTTAGGAAGTTACTGGACTTCGTGGTCAATATTCTAAACGAGCCACAAGCTGACATTCCTGCTCTCGGTTTCGTTTGCCCTGCTTGTCTGCATCGTCAGTGTCGTCACAGCCTTTTTCCGTGAGATCTGTGGTCAGAGGCTCACGGTGCTGCCCGCCTGAGGGAACTGGGGTGCAGGGAGCTTATGCTTTCCCCAAGGACACACACGGACACTGATTGTTCTTAAATGGCTCCTGAGCTAGACTCTTAAAAGCTATGCGTTTTGCATATCTCAGCTTTATAAAATAAAGACACAGCATGCCGCCAGGCCTGGGCGCCGGTCTGGCTGTGGGGGCCGCAGTCTCTTCGGGTTTTCTGCCCACCTGTGCTCCCGGCCGGAGCGGCAGCTGAGGAGCCCACCCCGCATCCCGGTGGGTGGAGGACCTGGGAGACGGGTGCAGGGGAAGTGGTGCCTGAGTGTCGGGACAGTGAGACATGTCCAAGGTGAAGGCCGTGCTCCTGGGGAAGGAGGAAGTCAGCTGGGAGCACCCGGTGCTGGAGCTGTTGAGACAAGACCTCCAGGCTCACGGAGTCACTGTCTTGCAAGGCGGACAAGGAAGCAGACGACAGCACAGGCTTCGGGGTGCAGCAGTGGAGGCCAGCTCCTGGGGGCCTCGCACTTAGGCTGACCGCGTAAGAGGCTTCCTGCAGAAGGCGGGCCTGGGCCTGGGCCTGGGCCTGCTCAGTGGGTCCCCTCCTGGGGAGTTTGGCAAAATCCGGAGACATCTTTGGGCATCGTGACTGGGGAGGGGGTGCGAGGTCTGACTGGCATCATCCGGGCAGAGGCTGGGACGCTGCTGAGCATCTTCAGTGCCCAGCACAGCGCCCTGCAGGGAACGGTCAGGCACAATGTCGGCTCTGCTGAGGTTGGAGGTTCGAAACCCTGCCCTGGGGCATCCGACCCAGGAGGGGAAGAATCCGTTTCTCCCACGTGTATTTGGCTTGTGGAGAGTGTGAGAGGGTGACCAGTGGAAACAGTGCTGGATCCTGGAACAATGCAGCGTCGAGAGAGAGAGATGGATTCTGAGCCCAGCCTTCGTCACCGGTGGATCCCGCCAAGGGGAGCGAGGGGCTCATGTTCCCGGCGCGGAGGCCCGATCAGAAGCTGGGGCAGAAGAGCTGGGAGCAGGTCCCGGAGCCAGAACCGAGAGCGTGGTGGGGACAAGGAGTGAGAAGTGGGCCAGGCCCGGCCAGGGAGGCGTCGGGTGCTGGCGGAGGTGAAGCCCTCTCCTTGGCGGCTCTGGGGGAACCAGGCCTGAAGCATCTTCCCAAGGGAAGCTGAGGCTCCCTTCAGTCCCAGGCAAGGCCTGAGTGCGGAGAAAGCACAGGCTTTGGTCAGACTTCCCTCCGTGGCTTTGCACATGTCACTTAACAGCCTGTTCCTCCCCGTGAAAGGATGCTGACCCCATGTCTGTGTGTCATGGGAGGGACGCAGTGAGATAACACACAGGAAGCAGGACCGCCCTCGGCTCTGCCATCCCCGCCGGCTCTGGACCAGGCGGGGTGTGGGCGCAGCAGGCACTGCCCCGGAGATCAGCCTCGGGAGGACAGCCCACCGGGCAGCAGGGATGGTCTGAGCGGACGGAGGGAGGAGCAGGGCTGAGCACCCCTACCCGGAGGCCAGGATGGGCCTGGGGTGACCTCGGGCTGCGGACCCCTGAGTCTTGCCGGCCGCCATTGGCTTCCGTTGTGCCGGGCCAGGGAAAGGGCTCGGTGGAGGAGGGAGGCGCTCGCCTGGCCTGGTGCAGCCCTGCCGGGGCCACATCCGAGCCTCGGCTGTGCCTCTGCAGCACAGTGTGGGCTTGTTGGAAGCGGCTCTGTAGCTTGGACGTAGAAACCGAGAGATGAGCTGGCACCGGCCTCCGGCCGCCCCTCGCAGCCCAGGCGCCAATGTTCGCACAGACCAGGGACCAGGGGGCTGCCTTCTCGCATTGATTGTGCCAGGGAGGTGACAGGCTAGGCAGCCCTCGTCCGTCCTATCAGCAAAGGGAAGGGGCTACAAACAGGGGTGGCCAGGACCTGGCGTTTCCTTGGGGTCAGGCCACAGAGCCGGGGGGAAAGCGGGGGAGCGGGAGGGTCAGGGAGGGGGCGGGCAGCTGGGACAGCGCTGGGTCCTTGTGGTCTCCACCCGGGGTTTTGTCCACTCTCCCTCCAACGTCTAGGTCCGGGTTTGTGTCGGGTAAAACCATTTGCAGCTATTCCAAGTGGAACGAAAGGGAATTGGAGAGTCTTTGCCTAAACCTTTTATTCAAAAGTATGTAGAAGTGATCAGGGAAACAGAGGAGGCGCCTGGCTCTCCCTCGGTGGGCGTGTGGTCTAACGGGAGAAGCAGGCGCGGAGCCAGTATTGACGTCCCTGTGCGGGCTGGGTGGTGAGTGCCTCTGCAGAGCCGGGCCCAGGCCGTGGCAGGGACATGGAGGGGGGCACCAGGCAGGTCCCAGGAATGGGACGTGGAGGCTGAGTCCTGGATGTAGGGTGGTATTGGCCAGGCCAGGAAGGGAGTGGGGGGGGGGGGCGGCCTTAGAGGCCGAGGAGAACCCTGTGCAGGGCGTGGCAGGCGAGGGGAGTTGCTGGGGGACAGCTGAGCTCGGAGGCAGGGAGGCCTGGGCACCGGGGGCCACTGTGCTGGAGCCTGGATGTTAGGCTGCTCGGTCCCGCTTACTGGCTGTGTGGCTTTGGACAGCGACCCGTCCTCTCTGAACCCGCTTCCTTCTTGCTTGTTTGAAAGGGGAATGGGGTGTGTGTGTGTGTCAGTGAATGAGTCCCAGACTTTGTCTGGGAGGGAGTGCTCCCTGCGTGTCGCGGGTGTGCTCCAGCTTTGGGAACGGCTTTGAAAGCAGTAGTCAAGGTAGCCAGTCTGCAGGAGGTGGTCCTGCATGTGGTGACCTTGGAGTAGGGTTCTGAGTGACCGAAAGGAAAAAACGTAGTAAGAATGAAAGTAGACGGCTGAGGAAGCACGGGGAGCTGGTGAGGTGGCTTGGCGGCCTTTAGCTGCCCAACGTCCCCTCCCAGCAGGGGCCGTGAGAGGGGCCGCCCTCGTCCTCAGGACTCTAAGCTGGTCCAGTTTGCTCCGGTCTCATTACCACCCAGGCTGCCGTTAGCCCTCTCTGTGCCCTGGGCCAGCCCTTCCCTCACTGGCGCTGCTCTGGGTCCAGAGTCCAGCACTGGGGCCAGTGGGAAATGGACACCAGCGTCTGGAAGCCACTGAGGTCCAGACAGCAGTGACCCCCCAAAACTCATACCCAGACCAGCCCCTGCTGAGGGGCTGTGACAAAGGGGAGGGAATTGCAGGGTGGGGGGGGGGGGTACTTTCAGGGTGTCCCTGGCTGTGGAGGGTCTCCTACCGGGGATTGGGGCCTGGGGCTCCTCCTGGAGTCTGTTCTCCTTGTCTGCGAGCGACAGGGATGTAACTCTCCGGGTGCGGGCCTGTGCTCGGGCCTATTGGCCTCTAGCGGTGAGTGCGGGCAGGCAGCCGGCTCCCGGAGGGCCCTCCGGAGGGACGGACTGTGAGGCACTGCGTGTGCCCGCTAGCCACCCAGAGGCCTGTTCCGCCCCAGGTGCCCGCCCTGTTTGACGAGGTGGCCATCTACTTCTCCGACGAGGAGTGGGAAGTGCTGACGGAGCCCCAGAAGGCCCTGTACCGGGAGGTCATGCGGATGAACTACGAGACGGTGCTGTCGCTGGGTAACGCCTCGCGCGGTCCCTTTGCCTCGCGCAGGTCCTGAGCCCAGAGAGCGTTCCCGCGTCGGATGGTGGGGCCGGCACCCTCTCTCCGAACGGCTCTGTCCCTCAACACCTGCGCCTTTCATTTCCCCTGTGTGACTCGGGCAGGGACATATTGTGTCACTGTACCCAGTCACTCGCGCTGGTCTCAGACCCTCATCCAACCCAGGCGTTCGCGTCTGGGCCTGAGCATCCCCTGCTCCTCGGCTCGCTGTCACTCTCGTGGCCTCAGAGGCTGTCACTCTCGTGGCCTCAGAGGCTGTCACTCTCGTGGCCTCAGAGGCTGTCACTCTCGTGGCCTCAGAGGCTGTCACTCTCACGGCCTCAGAGGCTGTCACTCTCGCGGCCTCAGAGGCTGTCACTCTCTCGGCCTCAGAGGCTGGGGACGGGCCCCGGGCATCCTTGCTCCGTCCCAGCACTGACAGTCAGGGGACCAGCCGGCACCACTGGAGGGTGCCGGGTCTGCCGGGGCCAGGCCTCATCGGCAGAGCCAGGAATTCCCGTGGACAGGCCCATTCCCCATCCTCTTTTCTTTCCACGTCCTGAGCCCTTTTCCCTGTTTTTCATAAATCTCCGATGGAGGAGGGGGCGGGTGAGGGTAAAAGGACTGATTGGACGGTGCTCCGAACCTCGGTTACTTCCCCTGCACAGAGTTCCCGTTCCCGAAGCCAGACATGATCTCTCGGCTGGACGGCGAGGAAGACTCTCAGAACCCGGACCCGTGGCCACTCCCAGGAGGGAGCTTTGCAGGTACCGGGATCCACCGCCTGCGAGCACCATCCCGTGGGAGCTCGGGAAGCGGGTTTTAAGTTCCCGTGTTTGCTCTGTGGGCTGCGTGAGAGGGAGGCGGGGCTGCCAGGCAGAGAGGACGGGTTTGGAGTTTGAACACCTCCCTTCCGGTGCGGTGCGGCCTTAGGCAGCTTCTTTAAGCTCTGAGCCTCCGTGCTCCGCGGTCTGTGTGGTCGGAGGCTCAGTGCCCCGTGGGCCGGTGAGGCAAACTGAAGCTCGAATGGCACTGTGTGCGCGCAGACCCCAGTGCGAGCAGCCACCTCCGGCGACGAGGGAGGACAGGTGACAGGCATGGCCCAGAGTTACCGCCTGGCTCCTGTCCCCTTCACCGGGGAGACGGGCAGGGCCGGGCATGGCACACGCTGGAGCACACGCGTCTAAGGCACATGGGCTTTCGTCAGGAAGCATGGCAGTGGGAGGTGCTGGCTGCATACCTCCCGGCAGCCAGGACGCTTTGCTGCCTTCTCTCTGTAGGTGGGAGTTTAAAAGGCCGTATGTCATTGATTCTAAGTCGTCTCCCCCTGCCACTTGAATGTCTCTGAAACTGAGAATGCCTCTTAAAATTATGATGCTTCTTGCAACTGATGACATTTTAGTTGGGTGAGGTAGGGCTATTTCCCCGAATCGTATTCAATTTTCTGATGCCCTCCACGTACACACACACACACGGAAACCAGTTCCAACTGGCGCGCGAGAGCCTCTCGGCTGCCTCGGGGCCCAGGCCTGCTGAGTGCAGCTCCTGCTGCAGATCCTCTGGGATCGAGCCACGGAAGGCCATGCACCTCGTGGTCTGGCAGGACGGGCTGTATTTGACTTCACACCCAAACGGGAGGCATTTTGGCCCAAATCTGGCCCCCAGATTACGAGGCTCCAGCTCGGTGCGCGTGCCCCGCTGGGCGCCACCTCTCTGGCTCAGCTACCGTGACACCTGCCTCCCGTGCTTGGCTTTCCCACCTCAGAGTCAGGAGCACGTGGACTCCCTGTGCTCACCGCTCTCCCCTTCCTGTTTGTCTCCAGAAAACGAAGACGCTGACGTCAGGCCCCCGGACTGGGCCGGCCCGGCGCACACCGCGTCCCCGTTCCCCCCGCCGCAGCCCCTGGACGGCTTCGGCCTCCGCCTGCCGCGGGCCTTCGCCGAGCTGCCCGAGTGGGGCGAGGGGTACCCCTTCTACATGGCCATGGGCTTCCCGGGCTACGACCTCTCGGCCGACGAGCTGGCCGCCAAGTTCCAGTTCAGCCGGGGCATGCGCCGCAGCTACGACGCGGGCTTCAAGCTGATGGTGGTGGAGTTCGCCGAGAGCACCAACAACTGCCAGGCGGCCAAGCAGTTCGGCGTGCTGGAGAAGAACGTGCGGGACTGGCGCAAGGTGAAGCCGCAGCTGCAGAACGCCCACGCCATGCGGCGGGCCTTCCGCGGCCCCAAGAACGGGCGCTTCGCCCTGGTGGACCAGCGCGTGGCCGAGTACGTCCGCTACATGCAGGCCAAGGGCGACCCCATCACCAGGGAGGCCATGCAGCTGAAGGCGCTCGAGATCGCCCAGGAGATGAACATCCCGGAGAAGGGGTTCAAGGCCAGCCTGGGCTGGTGCCGCAGGATGATGCGGAGGTACGACCTGTCCCTGCGGCACAAGGTGCCGGTGCCCCAGCAGCTGCCCGAGGACCTGACGGAGAAGCTCGCCGCCTACCAGCGCAGCGTGCTGGCCCTGCGCCGCGCGCACGACTACCAGGTGGCGCAGATGGGGAACGCGGACGAGACGCCCATCTGCCTGGAGGTGCCCTCCCGGGTGGCGGTGGACAACCAGGGCGAGAAGCCGGTCCTGGTGAAGACGCCGGGCCGGGAGAAGCTGAAGATCACGGCCATGCTGGGCGTGCTGGCCGACGGCCGGAAGCTGCCCCCCTACATCATCCTGCGGGGCACGTACATCCCGCCCGGCACGTTCCCCAGCGGCATGGAGATCCGCTGCCACCGCTACGGCTGGATGACCGAGGACCTGATGCAGGACTGGCTGGAGGTGGTGTGGCGGCGGCGGACGGGCGCCGCGCCCAAGCAGCGCGGGATGCTGATCCTCAACGGCTTCCGGGGCCACGCCACCGACGCGGTGAAGGGCGCCATGGAGAGCATGAACACCGACATGGTCATCATCCCGGGCGGCCTGACCTCGCAGCTGCAGGTGCTGGACGTGGTGGTCTACAAGCCGCTCAACGACAGCGTGCGCGCCCAGTACTCCAACTGGCTCCTGGCCGGGAACCTGGCGCTGAGCCCCACCGGCAACGCCAAGAAGCCGCCGCTCGGCCTCTTCCTGGAGTGGGTCATGGTCGCCTGGAACAGCATCCCCAGCGAGGCCATCGTGCAGGGCTTCCGCAGGTGCCACATCTCCAGCAGCCTGGAGGACGAGGACGACGTGCTGTGGGAGATCGAGGGCGAGCTGCCAGGCGGAGGGGAGCTGCCCGCCGAGGGCAGGACAGAGAGCAACTGACCGCCGGCGCAGGTAACCGCCGGGGGCGCTTGGGGCGCGCCCGCTGACGTGTTTGTGTCCACAGGCAGTCTTGTCTCGCCGCGCTTGTCCCCTCTCAGGACCCCAGAGCCCCCGGTGTGGTCCTTTCGGGTGAAACTTCTGTCGCTGGGCTTCCTGTGTCCTCGGCCCTGTGGCTGGACCCGAGCACTTGCATGGAATCCTGTGCCGGGGCCGGGGGCCGCTGCGGACAGCACCTCGGCTCTGTGATGCTGGCTGCGGGGCTGATGGAGCATGGGCTGACCGCTGGCTAAAGTTTTGTCTGAAAAGCCCACTTTTTGTTTCCTTGCTGGGCAGGAGGTCCAGGATGTGAGGCAGCACCGAGTGTGCCTTCCACCCGGCCTCAGGGCTCAGTCCCAATGGGGGGCGTGAGGGGGCCTATGGGACCCCCTGTGAGGTGGGAGTCATCGCCTGTGCTTGCTTCTCCAAGTGTGTGCCAGTGTCTCTCTTCGTCACAGCCTTCACGTCGGGGAGAGTTGATGTCTTGTAGCTCTCAGCTGTCTGAAGGAAGATACTTTTCAATCGAATCTAATAATAAAGGATGCATATCTAGGGCAACGGGCGGAGGGTGGGGAACGGGCCTGCGGCTCTCAGCTGCGTCTAGTCCAGTGGTCGGCAAACTCATTAGTCAACAGAGCCAAATATCAACAGCACAATGATTGACATTTTTTTGAGAGTCAAATTTTTTAAACTTAAACTTCTCCTAATGTCACTTCTTCAAAATAGACTCGCCCAGGCCGTGGTTATTTTGTGGAAGAGCCACACTCCAGGGGCCAAAGAGCCGCATGTGGTTCGAGAGCCGCAGTTTGCCGACCACAGGTCTAGGAGAAAGGCTCAGATGGAAGTGAGTCTAGCAGAGAACCCCAGTTCCCTCACAGAAGAACAGGGTTCGTTTTTACCCTCTTGTTCTTGTTTCTGGTACTTGTCCCTCCAAACACAGTGCACACTGAACATGCAGCGGCTGTACTGGACAGGGGACCGAGAGCAGTCCTGACTGACCTTCCTTCTAAAGTGACGAGGTGTTTCCAGGCTGCCTGCTTCCTGCTCCACCCGAAGTGCTGACGGAAGGCTCTGCCCTGCGAGCTGCCCGGAGACCCGTCTCCTCCCTGCCCCTAAGTCTCGGGCTGCTCGGCTGCGGGGCCCGCTGCCAGCGTGGCTCCCTGGAATTCCAGTGCAGCCCAGTTCCTACCACGACATTCGAAATCTCCAAAGCTGTCTGTTCTCCTGTCCCCCCCTCCCCGGTGCAGCCTCCCTTTCCGCTAACCACTCCCTGCCATTGCTTACTGCGCTGACTTAGCGAGTGTTCGTCCCTTCCTCACTTTACCTTGTTTCCTCGCCTTGTTAGGTAACATTTCTGTGCGTTTTTTATGTTCTAAGCTCATTGCCACCCAGGGGATTGGGTCTGAGTTGCCAGAAGAGGGGAGGGAACAGAGCGATGCTTGTGCCCGAGAAACGCGGACGCTGATGCATGGCCACCGGCCGCTCACAGACGGGGAGGCAGGAGACGTGGGCGTTCCACGGCCCCCCGTCTGTTAGCAATCTGACGAATGGAAAATGACGCTTGTTAACAGTTACACGCCATCCAAAGTCCCCGGGTTAATTCACACTCAGGTTCTCTCTTTTCCAGCAAACGGGACTGTGCTGGAAGCGCTGGGGAGAAACCCGGAGGAGGGCGCTGGGAGTGTGGCCGCAGGCACAGCGGCCCGGCTGCAGGCCGCCCGGGGCCGGTCCGGACAGCGCCGGCACCTGCCCGGACACGGCCCGCCCCCCCCCCGGGGTCACGGAAGCCTAGGACCTTCGTTTCATCAGAGACACGATCAGGAAGGAAACTGCCCTCCCGTTTCTAACAGCGGTGACTCCGGCCTCCGCCAGAGGAAACCCGGGGGAAGATGAAAAGGCACTTCCCGGAGGAGACCGTCATTCAGCGGCCACGTCTCCCGCCGGCCACTCCACCGTGTCCTTTCCGGGGAGAAGAGCCTCGTCATTGCTTCTCTGCCTCAGAAACGCTCCCCGCAGGGCCTGCCGCCAGCAGGCCGGGCCTGCCGAGAAGGCGTGTAGAGACATGTCGTTTTTGTACTTAACGCATTTCCTTTTAGGAAAAGGAGATCCTAATGACAACCACACTCCGACACACTGGCCTGGTGCCAGCCGTGGCTTTTCTACAGACAAACTCGGTTGTTGGGGAAGATCCCGGTTAAAACAAACGAGGCTGCTTTATTAATCTTCCCAGCCAGGTCGGCAGCTAGCTTTTTGGGTTTCATGATGGTTCTGTGTAATGCAGGGCAGCGTTCGGTCCACAGGTCCCTGCTCCTCAGGCTGCTGCACGTCAGCAGGAGCTTCCTGCTGTGCTCACGGACTCCCGCCGCTGTTTTGTTCATTTTTGTATTTTTTCACGAGGGTGGTGAGAGGGCGTGGGCCTTCAGCCACAGCTGTTTGAGACAAAGCCTTCCCCCTGTAGGAGATGGGAGGTCACTGGGTTTTTACATGAGACTTTGCATTCCCACCTAAGCTGAGTGTTACGGAAACAGGAAATGGGCCAGCACCTCGCAGAAATGTCATTCCGTGTCAGGCCTGCGACAGGCTCCACGTCTCCTTCCTGTCCACCCTCATTCCTACTCGACACTATTCTTGGCCTCGTGAGCCACTTACTTCTACTCAGGTACTCATCTTCCTGTTGACGAAACACCTTTCCCCCTTTTTTAAAACCAGTTTTCCTCCCAAAGGGGAAATTTCACTTAATTTCTGGTATCGGAATACCTTCCAATATTTGAATTGCCCCACTGGCAAACTGAATTCTCTGTCATCTCAAATGGCGACTTTTTGCATCTCAGCTACTTTGCATTCCAGAACCTTCCATCCCCTGCAATTCCACTTAATTTATCCTCCACCTTCCTGGTTCCCGGCACTTCCCTCACTGCTGTTTCACTGGCGTGGGGCATGCTTATAAGACCTGATTTTGGGATCCTGCATCGGAGCCAGAGTTCTCTGGCAGAGATGCGTGGGAAATGGGTCCAACTCCTGATTCATTCCGCCAATCCCACCGTCTCTGCCCCGATGGCGGTGCCTTCCGGCTGCTGCTCTGGGATGCTCCTTAGTGACGGCTCTGCTGTCGGGGTGTCTGGGCTCGTGCTTCCATGGACAGCCTCTGCCTCACGGAGCCCCGGACAGCTGCGCTGCAGGGCGGCCGTGGCCCTGAGGGACGACAGCACATGTTGAGACATAGATGTACTTACTCCTCAGTAGGTAGAAAATGGCCCACAATAAACTTTGATAGTAAAGACCACAGGCTGTGGTGGTTTGTTTGCTTCTCACTGACCTGCTGGTGTTGTGAAAAGCCACGTGGCTAACGGGGACTCATCCTTTCTCACCTATCACACCAGCAAACGTTACCCTCTTGGATCCACAGGGTCTGTTCGTGGGATGGCATATCAGTAACGTGTCTTTACAGAGGAGAGCACGTGTGTAGTTTTAAAAGGGTGGGGGGGTGGCATAAATGGCTTTCCCCTCAGTCCTGTCTTGGCGCTGTGAGGGGTGGTACGTTACCAGAGTCAGGAAGGAAGTAGTTAGGGGTGTGGGTATTGAGTGAAAATGTGCCAGCACGCTAACCAACAGAAAGTGTTCCTTTTAAACAGGAAAGTGTGGCAAGCCCTCCATGTGCTCTTCCCTGGTGCATGTTTAGTAAAATCAGCCCCGCCCATGAATTCAATGAGTAAGTTGTCTACTTTCCAAGAATAATCTGGACCACATTTCCCTTTACGCCATCAGAGTTAAGTTCTGAACCAATCTGTTGGCCACAGCAGGCGCGACCCTAAAACCAGGCGTCCTTGTCCTGACTTTATGTCCCGGAGGCACCTCGGCGAGGGGGTCCATGCCATGGGGAACAGGTCTCACTACTCAGGAGCGACCACTCAGTAAGCGGTTGCCAAGGTGACGGGTGCCGTGAAGAGAGCCGTGCTTGGCCGGTCAGTGGTGGGTGCTCAGGGTGATGGGCACGTGCTGAGCTCTTCCAGCCAGGAGAGCAGGGTGGGCCCGAGGGAACCTGCAGCTAACACGGCTGTGGAGGTTCCTGCAGGAAAAGAGTTTTGTTCTAAGTGTGAAGCATTTCCCCCTGGAGGCATTTCTCAAGGGGATGGTTAGCAGGAAGCACTTGGGTCCTGGGGCAGCCTGCAGTGGCCGCAGCCTCAGTGCTCCACCTGCTCACACTTCTCAGGGGCTCTCAGCACCGTTCTTCCTCCCTTCCGGCCCCAAACAGGGAGTCCACACAGGAAGTCCACTGGTCCAAGGAGCCGGCGACTGTAGGGACTTACGCGGGTCCAAGAGCAGAGATGAATCCAGCCTCTCGACGAGCCTGGTGGCCTCTGCACCCGGAAAACCCACAACGTGGAACACCCGTAGCGCTGAGGCCCAGGTGTGTGGAGTCCAAAACGTTTTGTCAGACACTGGTTCAAGTTCCTCTACACCCCTCGACTCCAGTATTCGCTCATCTCTAAGTTCAAAGGGCTTTTCTGACTTGGGCCAGCGACTGAAACTCAGCTGTTTCCTTTCAGTCTTGTTTAATCTACAGACCACAGAAGGAAGAGATGGCATGCCTTAATCTTTCCCTCTAGAACATTCTCTGACATGTTTTGCTAAGGTCTCACCACAGGGCTTTTCGTGTTTCTGCATGAGGCAGGGTCCCTTATCTATTTAATAAACAAACACTTTTCTCCCAAAAGTTTTATTTGTCACATTTAAAGTACAAAATCAAACACAGCCAGCTTCCCATATGTACATATTTACACGCTACTAACCACAGAACCCGTCCTAATGCAGCCGACCCCGAACAGCACAGGTGTAAGCTGCGGGGCCGCGGATACACGAATTTCCCCCGGGAACACCTGCACGACGTAAGGTCGCGGTTGGGAGTCTACAGACGTTCCACGCCATGTGACAGGGACCTGAGCATCTGAGGGTTTTGGCATCAGCGGGGAGTCCAGGAACCAATCCCTCTCAGACACTGAGGGACAGCTAAGCTTAAGTTTTGGGACGTCACAAGGTGTGAGTATCTGACTGCGCTGGGGGTTGGTGTCCCTAACACCCACACCGTTCAGGAGTCAACTGCATCTCCACCAATCCTATCTCGAGTAAAAGGCAATATGTCTCTAAAAAACAACCCTGGTTGTAACACTGCCAAATGAAAATTATTTTCACGTCTGGGAATATGAACTGAATGGAGGGAATGTGAGTTACAGGAGACATTCCATGAGGTTAACCAATTCCTTCTAAGTGTCTGTTGTGGAGTTTCTGTCCGGTAGCACAGCCTGTCTGAGCCATATCGTCCATGGAGGGGTAATGATTTGTAGGGAGCTGCCTAAAGGACATCTGTTGAAAATTAAACTGGTCACTAAGGGAGGTATCTGATTCTTAACACTGCAGGTTATTTCAACCAAATTCCAAGAGCACGATTCTCTCCGAGTCCGACGGGAACTTGGGCTGCCGGACACTGAGCAGAGGATGCCACTGAGCACACAGGTGTCCTGCAGGTCACAGGGGCAACGTTCTAACAGCGAGCGTCCTTGTTCTAGGAGGTCATTACCTGACTTGCAGACCAGAGGGCCCGGCACCTGCAGGCCACTTCCCCAGCGCCCACCCTACGGGGACACGTCCACACACGTGTCCCTCACGAAGTCAGAATTCTACCAACGGCTTCACAGTAGCAACACAGAATGTACTCAATGTCCCATTTCCATAGGAAAGGCTATATTTACACTGTCCACTCCAGGCTGAAGTGTGGACCCGGGGCCTCCGTGCCCAGTGAGCAGTCTGCGGCGTGACCGGCGAGCAGAGGCCTCAGTAGAGCAGCAGCCCCTCCTTGGCGGCCAGGCGCTGCCTGTGCACCTGGTCCTGCCGCAGCTCCTCGTGGGTGGGGTGCCAGAGCTTCGTGATGACCCTCTCCACGTTGAGCGCGTACACCGTGTGCGTGGGAATGACTTCCCTGTGCACCTGCATCGAACAGGATGGGTCTCCATTACACCCAGGACACGGACTTTTCTAACACGGAAAAGGTTTAGATCCACAAAACACTCACACAAAAGACACAACGTATAAACTTCCAGACAGAACCTAACGAATCCCAAGCCAACTAAAAAAAAACAAAACAGGAAATAACAAGGTTCTGAAATAGAAATAGGGAACAAGGGTGTTTCCCCCCCCGCCCCTTTTCTTTCTCATTGGGGAGGTGTGCAGATGGGCGAGAAATCAGGACGGACTCGGGCCCAGGACTTGAAAGTGAGGGGGGATGAATGGCTTTAACAGTAAACAGCCCAAACTGAGAACGAAAGGCCGGAAGTGGGCAAGCTCCCGCATGCCACCCATCACCCCAGGAAAACCTCCGGAGCAGTTACCTGCAAAGCTTCAAAAAGGTCATGCATGTTCACAGGAGGCAGGGGCGCGGGGAGGGTGTCCCCGGAGCACGCCAGCAGGAGCGCGGCCTGCTGCTCCGCGTCGTCGGGGTGCGGCTGGGCCGCTGAGTTCTGGCCGACACAGGAGGCAGGAAGGGCTGGCGGGCTGAAAACAGAGGACGTTAGGAACACACCGCAACTCCAAGGGACCCCTAACGGCGGGACTAGGAACAGGCGCAGGAATGCACCTATAAAAAGACCTGAAAGGGAAGTAGGAAGCCAGCTATTTTTTAGTGAGTGCATATACAAAGTGCAGAATTGTCATTTTTTAAGGCAGCCCATCTGGCATGCAGGAAACAAAATGTAGAGCAACCCCCTCCCTCCACAATATTAAAATATTCAGTACACTCCAGATACAAGGCCAAGATTGTTCCCTGCCCTTAAAGAGCTTCTAGTTGAAAAAACATAATAGACCTTCATCCAAGGAAAAGGAAACAAAGCGCCGACTTGGAGAGGAAGGCGGATATGCTGGAACCAAAAGGATCCCGAAGAACCGCCAGAAGACATGGCCGGGCGGCCAAGGCCAAAGGCAAGCCCCTGGGGAAACCAGCCCATGTGGCCGTTCCCAGGGCCCAGGCACCATGGTGGGAAGTTGGGCAGAGTCTGCACCAGAACACAGCAGCCCCCGTGCGACAGAACACGCTGGCTGAAGCCACACTCAGGAGGCGAGTGGAGGACAGCATGGCCCAGACAGAGGCAGCCTGGTCCGGAAACACGCCCGGTGACTGCATAGGGGAGAGGCGGGCAGGCACCTGGCAAGTCAGGGATGCTGTCCCCAGAATTCACCCCTGCAGGAGCCCCCTTTTCGGTTTGTTTTCTCTAGAATGACTTAAATGAGAACCAGAAATCTCAAACACAGGCCTGCAGGAGACAGAACTGATCGCCACCTCCCCAGGTTGTGAGCTGGGCTGAGAAGCTGCAGCCCAGGTCCTCGGAGGCAGCCCCTCCCTGTGGCCCCAACACTGTCTCTCCCCCCACTTCTCCCTCCCTCCCCATCTGTCCCACCTCCCTCCGCCCCCTGGGCCTGTATCGATCCGCCTCCCCAATCAGCTTCTCCCAAACCTCTCTCAGTCCACAGGACCAGACACACCACGCCCAGCACTTGCAGAATGCAGTCACTTCCGTTCCCACAAGGAGACAGTGTCTTTCCTTCCCAAAGGCTTTCAATCCGGACAGAATTTGTGGAAAGGGGCGGATGAACAACACAATAAAGTAAAACTGTTCTGCTCTCAGGCCACACCACCCGCTATCTGACGGGCAGGTGGTGCACACACACACAGCAGCGTCGCCGCAGGAACACACCTTTCTATTAGGCTGTTGTACACCACGATGCTGTTCCTCAGGTACGGCTGGGGGGTCACGTTACTGCCAAAGGCGTACTTAAAGTGACCATCTCGCACTCGATATGCTTTCCTTCTGGACACAACCGATGCCAGTATGTCCTTAAGGTGATTCTGTAAAAACAGAAGAAAAACAGCATGAAGTCCCGTTTAAGAGGAAATCCTCAGGCTTCCCTGAGCTGCTCACGCTCACGGACGCAGGATGGGATGGGTGCGTGCCCGTGCTGGACCCTGCGAGGTTCACCGAGGAGCCAGACCGGAGGGGCCAGGAGGGAGAGAGGGGCTTGTTCTACATAGAATATAAAAGGTTTCCTATCTCTAAATTTGCTCCTCTCAAAAATGATTTTCAGCCCAACTGGTGTGGCTCAGTGGTTGATCTTCGACCTATAAACAAGGAGAGGTCATGGTACAATTCCTGGCCAGGGCACGTGCCCGAGATGCAGGCTGGATCCCCAGTAGGGGGCGTGCAGAATGCAACCGATCAATGATTCTCTCTCATCACTGAAATTTCTCTCTCTCCCTTTCCCTCTCCCCTCCTCCCTGAAATCAATAAAAAAAATTTTTTTAAATGATTTTCAGATAGCTTTAAATAAAAGCACAAAAATAAGTAATTTTCTTTAAAAAGAGGCAACACACCTTAAAACTTAAGTTTCAGGCTCTGGGACTTTTGGGTTACAGTGCCCAATCCTCTGAGCCCCTCCCCTGAAGAGAACTGGGGCTCTCTCAGAGCGATGTAAACACAGGGACACAGGAAATTCGGGTTCCATCCCTTCACCTTATGAAAGCCACCTACGAAAAAGGCCGGCTGTCCCTTCGCCTGCCTTGTTATCGGGACCAGGGGTGGCATTTCAGCGATACCAGTGAGAGCCTCTCCATCAGGAGCTCACGGTGCAGTTTACAATTTCCGCACCCGGAGCTCACTGTCATGTTTGTAATTTAAATCTCTGAGGTCGGGTGAGGAAGGGAGACCCAGGAAAGTGCCAGGTGATCAGCGTCCCTGGAGCCCCTGTGCACGCCAGGCCTGGGGACGCTCCCCAGTAACAATGTGAAAAACCGAGTGCATGACGGAGCATCTGCGACAGGGACCACTGTGCAGAGGCCGCGTCGAGCTCTCTTGAGGCCAGGCAAGCGACGATCTCACTTGCCCCTTAGAAACCGCTCCCTGTGACAGAGGACACATGGGCTCAGACACGTCCTCCGCGAAGCTTGCTGTAAAGCGAAGGCACTGGCCAGAGTGCGGTGCGTTTCTCCCGCAGAAGAAAACCACGTGAACGCTGACAATTCTGAGATCAGTGACGTGTGGGCTCTTTTCTCACACAAGCTCCCCACATGCAGCCCGTTTCTGCCCAGCACACCCACCTCCACGGCGTAGACCACCGCGGACACGGCCTCCTCCGTGACGTTGTCCAGGCCGTGCTCGTACGCCGTCACGATCATCCGCCCCTCCAGCTGGCCCCGCGTGGGCAGCATCATTGTGTGCGAACATAGTTTCAAGTCATCGTCATCTTGGGGATCCTTTGCCACAAACTGCTGGGCTCCCGAGAGGGGGTTCTGAGGCTGGAATCTGTGCTGAGTAAGAAAACCTTTCAAAGTTATTCATTACAGTGGCGAGGAAGGAGACGCAAACAAGAGTAACCAACGTCCTGGACTGCACGGCCCACAGAGCCATGCCGCCAGGACCACACCACCAGGTGAAAACCAAAAAGCACGCGTCGTGCACAAATAGTCAGGCTCACGCGTGTTTCCTGGAAAGAACGGAGGTGTGGCTTGTAATGATTAGCGTCTCTGTAACCACAGAGCACACGGCTCTGGGCTGGAGTAACCATCCAAAAGAAGGTTTAAAACTATTTAAAACAGTGAGAGCGCGTTGAGTGTACATGAAGCAGGCAGGTGCTGAAAGTGTCAGGCAGTCACTCCTTTGTAAGCCTGGGAAGTCTGACTACCCCGCAGGACAGGCTGACAGCCAGCGCTCCGAGACAGTGCTGTGCAGTGTCCTGGAACTATAATACTTATTCCTACTGCCTTCTCCTTGCGATTCCCAAGACGCCGCCACACTCATTACTTAAAGTCGTTTTTCTGTCTTTCTTCTGCTCATAAAACCTCAGCCGTGCTCTGGGAGATGCTGAGAGCCCTTTATATTCTCCGTCATCACCAGAGCCGGCCCCCTAGCAGCTTGTGTTTAAGCCCAACATGCAATACTTTGTAGCTATTACTTTTGACGTTTGTATTAGAAAAGTGACACCTGCTTTTCCCCGTTTTCCAGAAACACTGCACTATACATCCAGCATGTGCATCAACAGGAGGCCCCCGGGCCGATGCCCGAGACTGAATGCTGCAGACCTCAAACAGCAGAGGCGGTCGGTGCTTGTGGTGCTAACCCAGAGCTATCGCCTCCCCGTCAGCACCGAGAGCCAGGAGACTTCTAGGAAACCGTTCCCTCAGGAAAAGCCAGTTACTCTAAAACTGTACCAATTCTACAGCCAAGCGCCCCTGAGACTCCTCTGCTGACCCACAGCTCGGCTGCTGGGCAAGCCAGGCCCCTGCCCTGCAGCCTGCAGGCCCCCTGCCCCGTGGGACACAAGTCCCTCGGAGAAACACTGCAGAGAAGGAACAGGCACAGCTTCCAAACCACTGAAAAATCACCGATGCTATTGAGAACGATAATGGTTATGCAATAACAAACCAGGACTAGAAAAATCCAGGCACCAACTTCACAAACGGTGACACCTTTCCCCCCCAGGATACCCCCATTTTTTCCAACTCTATCACCAGTGACTTCACATTCATTTAAAACAAACCAGCAGTGACCCAGACCTGCTGACGAACAACCTACATCAAACTTCTGGCGCACAGAAGACATCTTCTTCCGCCCCTTCGGCTTCCCGGGCTTGGCTGCGGAGCCCCCCGTCCAGGGCAAGGAGCCGGCACCCTCTAGGAGACAGGAAATAAGGACGTGAGAGGAAGTAAGCAGTCGGGAATTGCAAAGTGTTTTCATTTTGGGCTAAAAAAAAGTATGGAATGCTCAAATAATATAAGTAAATAAAAAATAAATTCACATCTTTCTCTGTTTTTCCCTCCACTTCCTTTTCTAGCTGTAACCAAAATTACTCTCAGGATGACAGCTTGGTTTTCCACACCATAGCCATTGTCCCTGCAGCCGTGTCACAGAGGGAGGACCACAGAGGGAGGACCATCAGGTGCTGTCCCTGCAGCCGTGTCACAGAGGGAGGACTGTCAGCTGCTGTCCCTGCAGTCGTGTCACAGAGGGAGGACTACAGAGGGAGGATCATCAGCTGCTTTCCCTGCAGCCATGTCACAGAGGAAGGATCACAGAGGGAGGACCGTCAGGTGCTGTCCCTGCAGCCATGTCACAGAGGGAGGATCACAGAGGGAGGACCATCAGCTGCTGTCCCTGCAGCCATGTCACAGAGGGAGGACCACAGAGGGAAGACTGTCAGGTGCTCTCCCTGCAGCCGTGTCACAGAGGGAGGACCGTCAGCTGCCGTCCCTGCAGCCGTGTCAGAAGGAGGACCATCAGGTGTTATCCCTGCAGCCGTGTCACAGAGGGAGGACAGTCAGCTACCGTCCCTGCAGCCGTGTCACAGAGGGAGGACCATCAGGTGCTGTCCCTGCAGCCGTGTCACAGAGGGAGGACCGTCAGCTGCTGTCCCTGCAGCCGTGTCACAGAGGGAGGACCATCAGCTGCCGTCCCTGCAGCCGTGTCAGAAGGAGGACCATCAGCTGCTCTCCCTGCAGCTGTGTCACAGAGGGAGGACAGTCAGCTACCGTCCCTGCAGCCGTGTCACAGAGGGAGGACCATCAGGTGCTGTCCCTGCAGCATATCACAGAAGCAGAGCAGGGTTTTCTAGCTCAGAATGGGGACTGAGCATGTGTGCTAACCTGCTTTCCTTCAGGACCTGCTAAGAATGGCAACAGAGGGAAGTAAGGGCCCGCCAAATAGCAGACAAAGAGGACAATGAGCAGGGGACAAGATGAGATCTCGACAGGTTTCCAGTGGGCTGGAAGGTGCGGGCTGACAGAGCAGATACGAGTTGGCCATGACCAGCTAGCAAACCAACACCATGGACCTCCTCACAGGCAGGGCAATGAGGTGGGAGTCAACCTGCCCAGGAGAAACCCGGAAGGATCTGGATTCGGAGAAGGTGAGTGCAGCGGGCACCAGGAGGGACCCGTAATGCCATCTGTGGAAGGTCTACAGGCAAAGGTCATCCACACAAACCCTTCCCTACCCAGCGGGCTCAGTAAGAGCAGAACGCAGGGTGCCCTGTTCAGACAGCTGCCTAGCCCACTGCCAGAGGCCAGCCCTGCTCACCGCATCCACGCGGTACCTGACACAGGGGGGAGCACGAGGGCGCAGGTCACAGGACAGCATCTCCGGGGTTTACTAAAGCAGCGGGGCTGCATGCTGGCAACTCAGGAAGAAGCCCATTCTTAACTATGAAGCCCCCGACGTCTGACAATCATCTACCCGGAGCACCTTAAGAAAGACCAAGTTAATGCTAAAACCGGTTTGGCTCAGTGGATAGAGCGTTGGTCTGCGGACTGAAAGGTCCCAGGTTCCATTCAGGTCAAGGGCTTGGTTGCAGGCACATTCCCAGTAGGGGGTGTGCAGGAGGCAGCTGATCAATGTTTCTTTCATCGATGTTTCTAACTCTCTATCCCTCTCTCTTCCTCTCTGTGAAAAATCAATAAAATATATTTTAAAAAAAAGAAAGGCCAAGTTAAGCAAACGAAAAATAGAGGATTGAGAGGTAAAGGTTCCAGGCTACAGAGAACTCAAGTCACTCCTAGCTGGTGTCCTCAGAGAAGTCTGAGCAGTCACATACCCACAAAACAAAAGAAGGTCCTATGGAAATGCTGAATTAAGGGATGCATGAGACAGAAAGGCTGAAAGGAGTTGAGGAAATCTCACAAAACACAGGGTAGTGAGATGATGAAACATGTGTAAGATCAGTGTATCGAGAGAGAGAGAGAGAAGGATCTGTATGAGGAGCTACTGAGGGCCCAGGACAGAAAACAGGCATAGCTGTCTCTGAGAACAGGGTGAGGGTGGGAAGAAGCTTCTCATAGTAAGACCTTCTGCATATCCTCTTTAGCCATCGACATATTGTTTAGTGTTAATGAAAAACAAAGTAATACAAGCTCACTGTAACTCACTTGAAAAAATATCCTCTAAATTTTGTAAGAGAAAAATAAAACCACCCATCATCCTAGCAAAACATGATTTCCATTTTGATGCATTTGGAAGAATGAGTTTTTAGTTTTCTGTTTTTACATTTTTTCTTATTTTTTATCTTTATTTTTTATATTTTTATTTTTAAAAATACGTTTTTGTTGAATTTAGAGAGAGGAAAGGAGAGGGATACAGCGATAGAAACACTGATGAGAGAGGTATGTCCATTGGCTTCCTCTTGCATGCCCCATACTGGGGGTGGGGCCTGCAACCCTCTTGGTTCATGGGCTGATGCTCAACCACTGAGCCACACTGCCTGGGAGAGAAGGATGAGTTTTTAAAGCTTTGGGGAAAAATCCTCCAGCTCCTTGGGTTAGAAAGAACTGTTTGGGAAGTCATCGCGGCACCCAGACCTCATGTGGGAAGATCAGCCAACCTGGACCTCAGGTGACGGTGACGCTGCGCCCTGCGGCCAGATGCTCTGGGTGAGAAACCAACATGACGACAGGCAGCGAGGACAGGATCTGCGGGGCGGCTGCTGGGAGCCACTCACATGTGCTCCTAGGTGGGGCCTTGGGAGCTAATTTTCTTGTTTTGAGGTGTGTCTCCTCATCTATAAAAAGAGGCTCAAACGCCCCTGGCGAGTTGCTGTGGGGATTAACGTGACGCACGTGAATGTCCAGCCCACTGCAGCCGCTCTACACAGTTATTAACTGCCCTTTCCTGCCAGCCGGGATACAGACCGCCACCTGCAGGCTGTCGGTGCAGACCCAGGTTTCTGTATTTTACTTGTAAGAGAAATCCTCTCTTTGTTGCTGGCCATTATTAAGTAATTTCATTTTGAGAAAATATATTTTGGGTGTTGATGGAGAAATAATCTGTCAGATTCCAAATGTTTCTTCACTTATCTAAAAACTATCTTTGTTTATTGTATTGTGATGCAGTAATACTTTGGGTTAAATTGCATAGCAGTCATTTCTGTTCTGAAGAGGCAGAAGATCTGAAACTTGTTCTGAGATTGGATTTATTCTCTGTTCCACAACCCATATATATTCCTTTCTCTACCTCTCCGAAGTTATTCCCACCACAGTGTGATGTTTTGGGTTGTACATTTTGTTCAAAAGATTTAAAGAATTTATGAGTTGGCTTGGATAAGTTTAACTTTATTTTTAATTTGTTAATTATTTGGAATAAATGTATTAATCTAAAAAACAAACAAACCCAGAGACCCGGTGCATGAAATTCATGCAGGGGGCATGGTGGGGGACCTTAAGCCCAGCCTGCACCCTCTCCAATCTGGGATCCCGATGGAATCGGGCCTAAACGGGTGGTTGGACATCCCTCTCACAATCCAGCTGGGGGGGACCAGGCCATCAGGGGAGGACAGTTGAGGGCAACCAGGCCAGCAGGGGAGGGAAATTAGGGGTGACCAGACCAGCAAGGGAGGACATTCCTCTCACAATCCAGCAGTTGGGGGTGGGGGTGGGGACCAGGTTGGCAGGGGAGGGCAGTTGGGGGCAACCAGCCAACGGCTCGCCTGCCTCTGCCTGATTGCCCCTAACCACTTCTGCCTGCCAGCCTGATCACCCCCTAACCACTCCCCTGCCAGCCTGATCAATGCCTAACTGCTCCCCAGCCAGCCAGATTGCCCCTAACAGCCCTCCCCTGCCATCCTGGTCACCCCTAACTGCCCTCCCCTGATGGCCTGGTTGGCCCCAACTGCCCTCCCCTGCAGGCCTGGGTCCCCTGTAACTGTCCTCTACTACAGGCCTGGTCCCCCAACAGCCCTTCCCGGTAGGCCTGGTCACCCCCAACTGCCCTCTCTGCAGGCCTGACTGCCCACAACTACCCTCCCCTGCAGGCCTGGGGCCCTCCCAACTGCTCTCCTCTGTTGGCCTGGTGACCCCTAAATGCCCTCCCCTGCAGGCCGTCCTATGACGGCCATCTTGAGTCTACATAGGGGCAGCCATCTTTGACAACATGGGGGTGGCCATCTTGTGTCTTGGAGTGACAGTCAATTTGCATATTACTCTTTCATTAGATAGGTTAGCCAATAATAAACATTCAACTGCTCATTAAAAAGGTTTTATTTAATTCAGGTCAACCAGCTATACTTATTAATAACTCTCCATATTTGCTAAGCATTTTTGTGGATTTTTGTGTATTCATCCTTACCCAAAGATATTTTTTCATTGATTTTTAGGGAGAGCGGAAGAGAAAGAAAAAGACAGAGAAACATCAATGTGAGAGAAACACACTGATTGGTTATTTCCTGATGAGCCCACATTAGGGCCCAGGCCTACAACCAAAGTATGTGCCCTTGACCAGAATCGAACCCGGAACCCTTTGGTCCACAGGCAGACACTCTACTCACTGTGCCAAACTGGCTAGGGCACAGGCATTTTGTATTTTTAAAAGCACCTTTTTACTTGTTATTTCATCTGCTTATTTATTTAAATATATTCTTATTGATTTCAGAGAGGAAGGGAGAGGAAGAGAGAAACATCAATAATGAGAGAATCACTGATTGGCTGCCTCCTGCACGCCCCCCACTGGGGATCAAGCCCACAACCTGGGCATGTGCCCTTGATTGGAATCGAACCTGGGACCTTTCAGTCCGCAGTCCGACACTCTATCCCTGAGCCAAACCGGCTTGGGCTGCTTATTTATTTATTTATTTATCCCGTAGGTTCGACATCACTGTCTCTATTTTACAAATTAAAGCTAAGACCATCCGATAATTAACTCCTTTCTCTAAGCTAAACCGTACCCAGGGCTCCACTCAACCAGGGTTTTTACTTCAGATCGCTTATCTCCTGGGCGCATGGAGCCTCACAGAACGCTCAAAAGTAAGATCTTATCCTCGCGGTGCCGGTTCTCTGATCAAGTCAGCCTTTCACAGGGCAGTGGATTACCTCTGTGATCCACCCGCCAAAGTCCGCTCTCAGCTGAACAGAACACAGAAACCTGACACTGTGAGCCCGTGCAGGGAGGGCAGGGAGGGCCAGGGATGCAGCAATGGGGACTTCTTGGAGGAACTGGGCTCCAGGAGACCTTTTCTGAATTCTTCATCACACAGTAGGGTTGGCACAGGGCTGGATGATACAAAAACCGGCCATTTCTAGGTAACTATGGGCTTTTAATACGTGATCATCAGCATCTCTCCATAGGCCTTTTAAAAAAAACTCAACTTAGTGACAGCAGGAGGTACCTAAGAATGCACTTTTAAACAAGAGCCCAGGCTAAGTTTTATCATGGGGCAAATTTTGCATGTAATCAATCATTTGTTTTGGACTAGTTGATTAAAACAAGATGGCTGAAAGAGGTGGCTTGTACCACTTAAGCTCCAAGCATTTAGGGATACAGGGGTGGGCGTTTCTATCAACACCTGTCTAGTTCAACCTCCTAACAGGCTGCGGTCAGGACCCTTTGTTTTTCACCAATAATCGGTCAAACACACACGTGGAAGCTCGAACCTACCTCCCAGATGCCAGTATCTCACAAGTGGAAGCCCAGGTTCCCCACAGGTTGTGATCCCCACTCCCTCCATCTATGCGAACCCCGCTGCCCTCCCTGCACTGGCCTTCACCTCTTCATCCTGGCCACTCAGCCCTTCCCCTCTCATACAACTTCCGGGTGTGAAGTCCAGCGGGTGGGGAGTCGTGACCGAAGGTGCTGAGTCTAGGGAGAGCGCTGCTTTCACGTGGTCATAAGGAACCTGCACCAGCAACCCCCCCCCCCCCCCCCCAGCCCAGAGGACATGTCGCTCGCAGACACACATGCCTGTTTCTGGAAGCTGAAGCCAGGGTCTTGGGCATGTTGTGGCTCCCTTACCTGGGGTAGACACCAAAATCTGGCACCGCGTGAGGATGGCCAGGAGGAACTCGTTGTGAGAATGCACTGCAAAGAGAGGAGTAAATACACCATATTTACCACCAAGGAAGCCCCTACTTCAGTGCGGCTTTTAAGGGGTTTTGATATCCCCCATTCTGCCATTCTTTACACTTAATTTTAAACGTCCACATTATGAAAACGACCTTATATGCCACTAAAATCAAACTACTTTTTAAGTGAAAAGACTAATTTATTGGAAACCTGGAACCCCCGGTGGGTGGCTGTTTACCATTATCCTGCGTGAGGAGTCTGTGAGCTTCCAGGTCAAACTCCTCTTTGCTGATCTTCTGCTTGAACCACAGCTTCAGGTTGGCCCAGTACCTGCAGGGGCGGGAAGTGTGAAGAGCCACAGGCTGTTTCTTCCCCAGTCCACCTAACTGCCCCACCCCAGGACAGTTTACTCCCTAGTGTGAGGGCGAGTGCCCTGATCTCCACCCAGAGAGTGACACCTGCAGACAGCTCAGTTCCCGCGGTGTCAGGGGGGCCCTGACCCCCGTGACTGGTGTCCTTAAGAGACAGGTCAGAGAGTGACGCCGGACAATGGCCATCACCAAGCCCGGGGGAGAGGCCTCAGAAGAAACCGGCCCTGCTGACCCTTGAGGTCAGACTTCCCGCCTCCAGACGGTGGGAAACACATGTCCCTTTTGGTCCCCAGGCCGTGGCCACCTCTGCCAACTGGCACACCTGGCAACCAAAATGCCAACGGGAGGGCAGAGGAGGAAGGTCCTCCGTCAAAGGGGCTGACGGGTAGTCACAGAATCAGACTCGTGAGCTAGTGGCCAAAAGCACAGCTTTCCCTTTCCTTCCTCACTGTCCCCTCTAAGAGGCTGCTCCTCTCCAGGAGCCTGCATTTCATATTTGAAGTTAAAGTTTTACTGGTTCTAAGGAATGCTTTGCTGCATACTGAGAGCTGCTAAGAGAGACCTTAAAAGGTCTTACCACAAGAAAAAAAAAAATGTTGCTTTTTTTATGTATGTTAATCTTCACCTGAAGAAATTTTTCCCATTGATTTTTGGAGAGAGTGGAAGGGAGAGAGAAGGATGAGGAGGAGGAGAGAGAAAAAAGCATTGATGTGAAAGAGACACATCAATTGGTTGCCTTTCACACCCTCCCACAACCGTGGGGACTGGGGATCAAACCTGCAACCCAGGTATGTAGCCTTGACTGGGACTCGAACCCGTGACCCTTTGATGTGTGAGCTGCCGCTCTAACCACTTAGTACACCAGCCAGGGCAACACATTTATGGTAATGATGGCAAGTAGACTTACTGTGGTGATCACTTTGCAATATTTACAAATACGAAATCATCCTGCTGTACATCCGAAACTAAAATTCAATTTCAAAATAGATTTATATATTAAAATGTGTGTGCTTTACGGGCTAGGGAGCGGTCATTAATACTGTTTCCGGCTGACCTCTTCCTTTCATATGCAGCCCAGTTTCCATCTAACTGGCTGTTTCTAACATGGCTCACCGCCAAGAAGACACCCATAGATGTCAGAAACTTAGTGGTTTTTAAAGTGAAAACCGTCCATCATAAGAATAACTAGTTGACTGTAGAAAAGAGAAGATCCAACCTTTTCTAACATAACACCGCTTGAAGCAAGTAAAATATATGAGTCTTTACATCCCGTTTCAGTGCTTAAGCTGCTCCTTGTTCATCAAACAAGGTTAAAAAGTTAGTGCATACCTCATGGTCACTTTCAGTTCACACTCGTTTACTTTCTAATGCTCATCTGAGTTTCTAACAGGAAGAGAAAAAAAGCAGAGATTTCTCTGCCAGATGGTTTAACGCCCTCACTGCCTCAGTAGGCACCAAGCAGGGCCTCTCCTGCTCACCGATTAGCTTCTAGGCGCCTCAGCATGATCTCTGCACATACCTCATCATGATCTGTGCACGGACCTAGCCATGATTTCTGCTTGGACCTAACCATGATCTCTGCATAGACCTGACCATGGTCTCTGAATGCATGTGGCCATGGTCTCTGTATGTACATGGCCATGATCTCTCATGTGTGTGGCCATGATCTCTGCATGGAACTGGCCATGATCTCTACATGGAACTGGCTATGATCTCTGCATGGAACTGGCCATGATCTCTGCATGGAACTGGCCATGATGTCTGCATGGAACTGGATATGGATGAATGAAATTGCAGCCAAAGCTCTGGGCTCAAGTGAAATTTTTTCCCCCCAAGAGAAAACATGTAGCCTTAATGGAATCTTAGTCACAATCACTCAACAGCCAAACGTTTAGTTCCAGAGTTTGCCACCACGTTTCACACGCTCAGTACTGATAACTTCCCAACAGTGGACGGACGCTCAGAGGCCTTCTTTGCTTAAGGACAAGAACAATTAGGAAGTGAAATGGAGCTCTTTCCCGTCCTCTTCTATCCAACAAGAGGTCAGTAACCCAAGGAACCTGCATCACTAGTTTACCAGAAAGATGCAAACAGACGCAGTCTGGAGCGTGGGAGCTGGTTCGGAGCCGAGACGAGGCTCTGCAGGGAAGCGGTTCCACCGCGGGGATGTCCACCTGCAAACTCTGTGCCCACACAGCAGCCCTGGCTATCGAAGGCTGACCCTGTCTTGGTCCTTATGCTGACTGTATGCCCACAGCCCAACGGCTGTTTTCCTCAACAACACCAAAACCAAGCCAGCCGGCCTCTGAAGGCGAGGCTGAGTGGGTCAGACTAGGAAGCACTGGAGACACCTGGAGAGAAGTAACAACACGTGCCCAAGTCACCCCAAACATTCAGCACCTGTCTGCACAGGACACTCCATTGGACGAGACCCAGCATCTCAGAGGCGGCTCCTACCACGCTGTTCGCCTGGACTGAATGACGGTTCTGACACTCGCCCGGTTCTGACACTCGCCCGTTCAGCAGCGGCCCAACAATGTCCTCGGCCCCCGGCTGTGACCTGGGGAGGTGAGGCTGGGCACCGGGCCGTCAGGTGTCAGGCCAGGAAGCGGAGGGAGGGCGCCAATCTTTCTGTGCCTCTCTCTCTGGTTGAAGTCACTAAGCTCTCTGGATCGCCATCTTCTCCCCTATCCATGGGAATGACCGCACCTGGCTCCCGGCTCTGCGGTGAGGTTACCGGAGGCAGCACCGTGAGCGCCTGACCATACGAGCCCACTAACCGCTGTTAGCCGCCCGGAGGGCCCCCAACGGCCGTCCCTAGGCCCGGCCCTCCCCAGCCCAGAGCCTCCGCCTCCAGGAAGCCCTCGGGGCGCCCGCGCCGGCCGCACCGCAGGGCAGGCCTGTCCCGGTGCCCGGTGCCCGGTGCCGGGGAGGCGGCCGGCGGCGCGAGAGGCCCGGCGGCCCGCCCGGCGCACAGGCCCCGCCGCCCGCGACGCCGGCGGCCCAGGCCCGGGCGGCGGGGCGGCTCCGGGCGGCTGGGCGGTCGGGCCGGAGCCCCGCGCGGAGGCCGCAGGCCGCGCCGCTTACTGTTTCACGTTGTCGCCCAGCGCCTCGCTCAGGTTCTTCTTGGCCGCCTCCAGCTCGCTCACAAAGGTCGCCATTGCTCCCGCGCCCGGCCCGACCGCAGGCCCGGCAGCCGCGCAACCGAAGAACCAACGCGGCGGCGAGCTCGCGCCGAGGCCCAGCCGCTCCCGCCCGCCCCGCCCCCCGGCGCGCGGAGGACGTCGGTTTGGTTGTCGGCCCCGCCCGCCTGCCCCCCGGTCCGAAGGCAAGGGGCGGGGCCCAATCCGCGGGCCGCTCGGCGCTCCGGCTCCGCCCCTGGATCACATGACCGCTCCTCGCGGCGCGGCTGCAGCGCCGCCTGCTGGGCTGGCGCGTCCGCGCGTTCAGGGAGCCGCAGGGCCCAGTCCTTTCACCTGGTGTCTTATCCCCAGACCCCACATCAAACAGTGACTGCAGCATCCGTTTTCTTTTCTTGCTGCGCTTCATTTTCCGCCGAACACCAGGCATCTGTAGGCCATTCAGTTGGATTATCTTGCTAAGTGTACGCCCTCTCTAACTGAGAGGTGGTTCCCTTTTACCCCATGCTGTGTGCTCTTCCCGGGGCAGTGCCTGACTAACCAACTTTGCTGAGCGAATGAAATGATGGTGGAAAATGGAGAAAATGCACCGAGGATAAGAGGGAAAGAAAGAAAGTGTGTTTTACCAAACTCTTTAACAGAGATTTCTCCCCCACGCCCATAATTTAGAATCATACTCTCTCTGCAGTTTTGAGTGTAGGTGCGTTTTTTAACATAGTAACAATAACAAGTATTTTCCTCTGGTGTTACATTGTTCCTTTAGTCCTAATTCTAATGCCAGCGTGTTAAATACCCCATGGATAGAATGTGCACAGTGACCGCATTCCTGGTTGCGAGAGTGCTCGCATTCATTCTATGTTAGAAGCAATAATGAACTTTATTCATAAAGCTTGGCCTCATTTAGGATTATAAATCCTGTACAAATACTACACAAAGGAAAGCCATCCCAAAGGTTTATTTTCACACGGCTATTTTACTTATATATCCCCTAAAAGCTTGCCTTTCTCTCCCACCCCCAACCGCCTGCATTGAGGAATTCTTCCCAATTCTGTATTTATAAAGCACCAATGTATTGGGCAGTAGGATTGGGTATTGATGGAGCTGTGAGATATCTCAGTTTGGTGGTGGTGGTTATGATGATGATGATTTCTCCCAGATAGGCTATTTAGGTTCTTTAGACCTAATTACAAACCACTGCCTAAAGCAGAAATATGTTGGTTGACTTACTCCACTCATTAGCATCAGCTGGTTAGCCTCCTTCCCTGAGCCCTGACAGCAAACATGTGAGCTGTTTCCTCAGCGTTTCTGCTTCCTGAAAGGTTTCCTACAGTCCAGCTTTCAAACATCGATCCTTCTGGTTGCCCTGTTGAACTTATCATTATGCTGTTCACTGTAATTTGTAATCTTATTATGTGTACATCTGGTGTGTATATATATGGTTATATTATGTTACATAGTATATCTCACACTCAAAGTATATGTGTCTGCTAGAATTAAAAATGTCAGACAATACTATATAATGTTCTTTCTCACCTATATCTGTATTGATGTAGAAGTTTTAATATAGTTAAAGAGTATAGAGCAGAATGTACTAGGAAATAGTGACATTTATGGTTGAAAACAATGGGAGAGGCCTGTCGCCCCGAGACCACACGGGTTTATTTTATGACCACCAGCGGAGGTAAATTGGTTCTTAATATTTTGGGGGGCCTTATTTATGGGACCTTGTTGGCAGTTTGGTGAAGCTTTGCAGCCCTTCTCAGAACAATGTTTCTAAATATATAAACTACATAGGGCTGCAGTGAAAAGTCTGACTGGAACAAGCTCTGTCCGTGGGCCCAGCTTAAACCCTCTGGAGCTTTGTATGTGTAGTTGACCCTCCAGCAGCTCGGGTTTGAACCACATGTCCACGTCTACACAGGCTCTTTTCAGGAAATCAGCTGACCTTTCGTCTCCACGGGTGTCACATCTGCAGATCCAACCGATCACGGCTGGAAAACAGTATTGCCACATTCCCAACTGCCAATTCCCAAGTGCTGTTTCAATCTGCAGTTGGTTGAATTCGGGTATTTGAAGAGCTGAGTGTGGAGTCAAATTTTAAACACAGATTTTTGACTGCAGGAGGAGGGAGTGTCCCTAACCTCTCAGTGTCAAGAGACAGCTATATTTATTTTGTTCAGGATGCTATTAACAAAGTTCCACAGTCTAGATGGCTTAAACAACATAAATTTATTTGCTCGCAATTCTGGAGGCTGGAAGTCTGAAATTAAGGTGGCAGCAAACTTGGTTTCTGAAGGCCTTTCTGGATTATCTAGACTAGGGGTGTCAAACTCAATCAGAGAAGGGGCCAAAATCTAAAATCCAGCCTAAATTGCGGGCCAAATGGTTTACTGAACAGTCATAAACTGTCATTGTGATGGAAACGCAGCGGAGTGCAGTGATGACAGCGCGGTGCGGGCCACATTGCAAGGCCTGGCGGGACGGATTTGGCCCGCGGGCCTTGTGTTTGACACATGTGATCTAGACAATCACATCTCTACCCTCACTTTGTCTTTCCTCAATGTGAGGGTTAGGGGGCACACTCTAAAGTCTCTGCTTGGAAGGACACTAATCCTGTAGTACCAGGGCCCCACCCTTATGACTTCATTTAACCTTGATTACTTCCTCAGAAGCCCCATCTCCAAATATGCTAAACACAGCCACACTTGGGGTTAATAACATACGAATTGGGGGTGTTGGGCGGGGTCCACACCTTCAGTCCATAACAGTCCACATGAGTTAACGGTATCCCTCTTTCTTAGAACCTCTTAGTGGCTGAAGTTCTAGGACCCTGAGAAATGGAAGGTGAATGGAAGATAACTTAGCAGCCCAAGAACACTGACAAGTGAGCACAGTCTTCACCATGTTTCGATACCCTCCTGGTTGTAATTAGTGTGATCAGAACATTTTCCCTGGATCTGTGAGCCTTCCAATTGAGGAACAAGCGTTTACTGGGAGAACTGTAACAGGGATGGCAGATAATCAGAAGCTATCAACTGTACCTACTTGGGCTTTATGTATACAAAGCAGACAACTCCACAAAGATTAACTCACCTAGTTCTTTATATATATATATATTTAAAATTATCCTACAGGAATTTCATTTTCCTTTCCCCGGTTAGAGGAGAAGGTATAAGTATTGTTGCAGCTGTGAGCTTTAGCGTTAGAACAATCAACAGACTGGAGGTGCTGTAGGGGTTACTGTTCAGCTCTGAGGGAAGAAGAGGGGCAGAGCTGGACCATGAATGAGCTTGAGGACATGAGGAGGCACAGCCCGTGGGCACAGCCTGGGGCCCCCAGAGCAGTCAGTGCCCCAAAGGGAATCCCAGAAGTACCCTGTTTCCCCAAAAATAAGACAGTCTTTTTTTTAAAAATATATATTTTATTGATTTCTTACAGAGAGGAAGGGAGAGAGATAGAGAGCCAGAAACGTCGATGAGAGAGAAACATCGACCAGCCTCCTCCTGCACATACTGGGGATGTGCCCGCAGCCAATGTACATGCCCTTGACCGGAATCGAACCCAGGACCTGTCAGTCTGCAGACCGACGCTCTACCGCTGAGCCAAACCGGTTTCTGCAAGACAGTCTTATATTAATTTTTTCTCCCGAAGTTGCGCTAGGTCTTATTTTCAGGGGTGTCTTATCTTTCCGTGCACTAGGTCTTATTTTCGGAGGATGTCTTATTTTCGGGGAAACACGGTAGCTCCTCACGTTCTGTTGCCTCTTCTTACTCTGGAGCCCGATGGGGACGCCCCCTTGGCTCTGTGACTAGTGAGAACACTGGACAGTCTGTAATGAGACAGAGCAGAGGGCGCCGGGAGCTCCCATTAAGGGTGAGGTGTTATGGGACAGTCCTTTAAACTTCTCAGAACACAAGCCATTCCACTGCACACGCCGGAAAGACTTCTTTCCACCCCCGGGAAGCAGTGAGCCCAACAGGAAGTGGGAAAGCTTGGCTGAGGCCTCTGGCCCTGCTCAGAAGGCAAAGAGCTTCTTCACGGTGCTGACAACTGTGTCTGTGTCCTGATAGGGGTCCAGCACGGAGAGACCTTCGGCGCTCGGGGCAGGGAGAGATTGGAGACAAGCACCGTCACTGAGTTGCTGTGGGTAGAGGGAGACCTGCTGGGTGAGACGAGGCTCACAGGTCACCCCCAGAAGGAGGGGAAGCCACAGTGAATATTGGAAAGTTCAGCCGGGGGTCCTCGCTTGAAATCCAGGAGGTGATTCACTGCCTGGGGTACCGGCTGCAGTTGTGCCAAACAGTGCCTCCTGGCCACCTGCGGCCACCCCACCCTGACCAGACGGAGCGAGGGACTGGGAGCTAGGACTTCCTCCCCAGTAAGGAGCTGTCTTGCATGTCTTTGGTTTGCTTCGTGCCTCATTTTTTAAATTTTTTTATAAAGTGTCTTGCCCTGACTGGTTTGGCTCAGTGGATAGAGCGTCGACCTGTGGACTGAAGGGTCCCAGATTCAATCCCAGTCAAAGGCATGTGCCTTGGTTACAGGTACATCCCCAGTGGGGGGGGGGGGGTGTGTGTGTGCAGGAGGCAGCTGACCCATGTTTCTAGCTCTCTATCCCTCTCCCTTCCTCTCTGTAAAAAATCAATAAAACATAAAAAAAAAAGTACACTGCTGTATTTGATTTGATAGTATCATGTGTAGGGTTTTTGCATCTGTGGTCATTAATAATATTAATGCAAAGCCTTTGAGTTCGCCCTGGTCCGGGTAGAAACGTTGCATCGTGAAAGGAGTTGGGGAGCCTCCGCCTTTTCGTGGCCCCTGAAACGACGGGGAAAAGGGGGAGAGGGCTTCTTCGTCCCTTGGAGTTCGACAGACTCTGCAGGAACCCCTAGTGGCAGGCTCTGCTGGAGAGGACGGCTTTTAAAATCCCTAATTCAATTCCTTGGTCACTTGGTGTCTCATTTTTCTTGTTGTTTTGTCATTGGTGTGTTTTTCTGTGTACGTTTCCGTTTCCTGGAAGTTTTCAAGCTCAGCGCTGCCGCTGGTTTGGCTGGTCAGGATGGGCTCTGGGGGGATGGTCCCCCTGAATTAGCAGCACCCCGCTTTTCTGCAGTCTGTGGACTCAGCAC